ACCAAAGTCAAGCAGATCGAAACGTCGTACGATGCCTTCGCAGCGGTCCTCCAGGATGGATCCGTGTTCACCTGGGGAGTTCCGATTTGGGGCGGGGACAGTAGCAAAGTCCGAGATCAGCTGAGGGATGTGCAGGAGATTAAGGCTTCTCAAGGTGCCTTCGCGGCCATGTTGCCCGGTGGACGGGTGGTGACCTGGGGCGATGAAGACCAAGGAGGAGATTGCAGTTCTGTCCAACATCAGCTGACAGATGTGCAGCTGATTCAGGCCTCAGCGCGTGCCTTTGCCGCGATTGTAGCTGATGGGCGTGTGGTGACCTGGGGCGCCCCAGCGTTTGGAGGTGACAGTAGCAACATCCAAGAGCAAATTCAGGAGATGTGAATCTACCCACCGTCGCACATCTCAGCACGTCTCAGCAGCCCAGTCTGAGCTAGAGAATGTCCTGCAAGGCTGAGCGGCTTTTCGATCAAAGAAGCACTAGGCTGATGCATCACTGCCTGGCGACCGGGGCCACCAGTTTGACGCAAAAGAGACGGTGTTTCCTGGTGAACATGGTGAGCACCACTCGGATTTTTGGCATGCCCCAAGCATGACAAGTAAGTACAGAGTCTGATAATTTTCGACTTGCACTCCCTAAAATCATTCATGGTTACGTGGATGGCCGACAGGCTGAAATCCTCATGCCATCCCAAGGGTGAACTCCACTTACAGGAATATTTCAGGGAGTGTACTGTACTTGTACCAACTAGATTCTAGATGTTCCAGTTTTGGTCGGTCTTGTCACACCCTCGTGGATGGTTTGCCCTCGTGACGTGGGACCGGAGGGGGTGATCCAAAGCTCAAGATAACTTACCCAAGTCTAAGCAAGTGCCCGGGTAGATTGAAATGCTGAAGAAAACAAATGTCAAATGCCTTTTGGGATCACCAAACCTGCAGATTGTTATTTGGAGAGAACAGGGCACCTCATAAACATACGATTTTAAAGCCAAACTTGGAACATGGAATGCAACATGTTGAGGCCCCTACTAATGACTGTTCTCACTCATATCTCTCAAGCATCCCAACACAAATGGCACAAGCAATGAAAGCTGCTCAGGCTATCCCAGACACTCCATGGACCATGTATTCAATATTCACATAGTTACATTCGGGTGGTTTGGGGTGGTTTGCGTAGGTAAACATGCCAGTCCCATGAGCCCCATGGCGTGTTTTGCTATCCAGCGGTATTTTGGTTCGCACCTTCCGCGGATCGTCTCAGGAGCGATTGGGGGACTTGGAATCCCGGATGGCTGCCCTGCCCTCATGAGGAGCGCAGTCATCAGGTGTTTTGTGTGGCCCCGTTTGTTTCACACCATGCACAAGAGGTGCATGTTGCAAGGCTTGCAGGCAGCAAGACTGGATGAAAACCAGTGCCGTCAAGAACCAGGGTTGCCTCACGGCAAGTGGTTGTTTGGTGGCCAGTCACTGGTGCCGAAATTTGTTTGAACAAGAATAAGGCCAGTCCTTTTCTGCAGGCGAAGAGATGTTCCATTTCCATTGCTGATGCGCAGCTTTGGCGGCCCACATGGCTCAAGTTAAAATTCTGCAAGGTCAACATTCTTTAAGTACCTGGTGCATACTCGGGCTCCATTTGTCCAGAATGACTAATAATTACATGGTCTGTGCTGGGTGGGTCCTTTCATGGTTTGCATGCTTTTCTTTGCTTGGGAATTCCGAGGAATTCAGCACAAAACTGTCAACTCCAACCTCAGCCAAGGTGGGAACATTAAACTTGGTCATTGCAAAAGATCGCAAAAGTCAGTTGTTCCTTTTCAGGGATTGCTGCAATAGCCGCTGTTTTTCATACACTGTACATCGTCCAGTGCCAAGCTCAGATCAACTTCAATTGCGTCGAAACAAACTCCAAAAAAGTTGAATCGATTCGACCAGACACTCCTGTTTTTTCTTTTGGCAAACCGCTTTGGAGATCCTGAACCACGCTTCAAGGTAACAGTGGATTCCAAACTATTCAGTTGCAATCAGATCTTTATAGATAGATCTTTTTTAGTCCAAACATATGGTTGCTTCACGAAACTCTCAAACATTTTGGGCTCATGCATGCAGTTGTTCATCCCTCATGCATTTCACTGTCAGTGCCATTTTTGAACACCTAGGTTCCATGGACAGGTTGAAGCTGGCAGCCGCCTAAGCCAGGTGATTCTTCCGGGTGCACGTACCGCTCCCTGAGTAGCAAACACTGCCGAACAACTTGCCAACATGGCCAACTTACGTACCAACATGGCCGCTTCGTGGACGCAACCCCCTTGAACTTCTTTGCCATGTGGTGGAAGGGAGAACGCAGTCTCTGACCAGTCAGACCTTTGTAGTCGCTAACCACCTCAGGTGCGCTCGAAGCCAAAGAAGATGGATCGAAGTGCGCTCGAAGTGGGTCGAAGTCGCCAAAGCCGTGCCTGGCGGCTTCGGGATGTTCTTTGTGCCTCACCCAGGCGGCAGCAGCTGGATGTGGTAGGGCAGCCTGACATGACCAACTGCCTGGTTTAGAGGGTCAAGAAAATGGTCAAATTATATAGATGATATGCGGAATTCTAAGAATTTCACTACTAGCCAACCTGGCCCTGGCTGGGACAGTTGGCAAGACCAGCCAAGTATTCACGAGTTGGGTTCAGTAGACGCTTTCACGAAGATGGTCACGCCCCCCACGGACGCTCCGAAGGTTTTTGCGGCGCCGGTGGACACCTCTTGAACCTTCTGGAGAGGATTGTGGCGCCAAACATGATCCCAGACAGAGAGAGAGAGAGAGCCTAATAGAGATGACCTCCATCTAGAAGCAATGGCCTCCAACCCAAGAGAGAGAGAGAGAGAGAGAGAAGAAAGAGAGATGTTGGTGTTGAGTGACTTAAATATCGAATCTAATGGCCTGAGAGGCACTGAGAGGTGTGTGTATGTGTACGTGCTTGTGTTTGTTGAATACGACTCTTCTTTAGTATCAGACACCACTTCATGCCGAAGCAGAGCAATTTGACATTGACCTACATGCTCATGAAGGAAGGTCAACATTAGCATATATTAGCATCATTCAGCATCCTTTCCCGAGTGGTCCTGTTCAGTTCCTTGGTAGGACCTTGACACAGTGCAAACAAGAGCGCAGGAGAAGTTTGTCATTCTCTCAGCAAGACTTGTTGCTTCATACACACCATGTGCTGCATATCGTATTAGTATCATAACATGCTGTAACCTTGTGCAGTCTTTGTAACAGATGTGCACCAGTCAAACCAAGTAAGAAAGCTATATCGAAGTTCTTTAATCTCCCAGTGATCACATTGACATCCTTGTGTTTGTTGCAGCAGCTGTTGCAGCAATCTGCTGGTGTTTTTGGTTGGTGATTTGCACCATATGTCCCATGTCTCTGTGATTCGAGGGTGGGAGTGAAATTGATTGGATTCATCACTGACCACCATGCCTTGAAAAGGCCCATCCACCACTTGCATCGCTGAGCAGCAATCTTCTTCGTGCCAAGTCTTTTTTTTCCACTCCCGTGTTTCCTTTTCGGTATACCCCGCACACAGCCACAGAGCCCATCGTGAAGTCCTTTGTTAACTACCGCAACTATTATTCAAAACGAGGACTGAAGCTCACAGAAGGGGAGAAGGAACAGCACAAAGATCAAACAGTTGGTATAGTCAGCATTACTTTGTCCCTGAAGAAGCGACTTTATAAAGTCGATACAGCAACAGCAAGCATCAAATGCAGAAACAACCATCGGCTCGGCAGGAGGTTTGCAGCCCTTTAGACAAGCACGCCTGGCACCTTTAATTTGGAGGACTGCATCCGCAACAAATTGGAGCTGTGTCAGAGATGTTTTATAACAATATATAAGAGATTCTAAGCGCAGGTTTGGTTTCAATATGTTTCAATATACCCACCACGCAGGAGCAGATTCACAAAAACACGCTCACGATGCACTGGCTGCCTGCTCAGTATTTGTGTCAAGACAGCATACAACTTGTATGCAGTCGTTGCATTTGTCAGCTGTGTCTCGGTCCGAACGGACCTGCGTTGTCCGGAGCCGGGTGACACAGCTAGGCTATCGCAGAGTGCAGCTCCCGATCCTGGCTAAGCCCTCTTGGTGACAACGGCGTGTTGGGAGCAGTCACCATTTAAACAAAGATTCGCGTGCATGGAGCATGAATCATGGTATATAGTGTGTTTGGATGTGAGTGATTAGCAACAGTACCAATGTTGACGATGTGGATCTAAAACTTCACGGAGAAAACTCGTTTGTCCAATCACTTTTGCACTTCATGAGTTGCTGCTAGGCGGACTCATTGATGGCCAAAGCAGAGCGAATCGAATCAGTGAGGCGCTCAAGATGAATTCGTTGAGATCCCAGGTGTAGAGTCAGCACTTCCAGCCATTTTAGAGGGCTTCAACGGAACTTGCATGGTCTCAGAAGGAATTATCCAGGACTTGAAGGACTTAGGTGAAGGAGACAATATCTCCGTCAATGGATGACATTACCATACCTGAAGCAGGAACTTGTTGCAGTTGAGGCGGCGGATGGTGCGAGGCTCCCAAGTCCTCTTGACCCAAATTGCAGACAGCAAGGAAGCTACTTAGAAGAGCTTGGTATTGGTAGACTCAAATGAAAGCATTTCCTTGAAACACCGTGTATGTTGTGCGAGTTGGGAGGAAATCCCATGAAACACTTCAGATCAACTGAGTTGTTCGTGATGATTTCATGAGACCGGCTGATCCATGAGATCCGCTGACAGGTTCGGATCAAACTGTCAGCTCTGAAGATGTAGCTACTGTAGAAGATCATGGCCGTGTGCCACGTTGATCTACAGGAAGGTCCATTTACAGTATATACAACACATGTCGAATAGGGCAGTATAGGATAGACTGCCGTAGACAATAGAGACTCAGTGCAGGTTCAAAAACTTATCCAAGAAGGCCTAGAATTCTGCAGCACCTCACCGATCAAAGAGCACATAAAATAACATCTTGCTGCTTGACAGCGCAAGTTTGTCCCTGATGTCGGATGCGGCTATTGCAGTAAACATTGCTGGATATACTGGAGATAGCTGCTTTCACATTCCAGTGACCACTTCCAGCACAGCTGGTGGCATCATTGCGTTGGTGAAGGAGTGTTTGCCACAGTGTCTATGGCATGGCAACACGATGCTCTCATGTGGACTTCATCAACTACGGCCCGACACCATCGTTGATACGCGCAGACTTGGTGCCTGGGTTCTAATCAACTTCTCAGAGATCAGCAACCAGGAGAAGTGCTGGTGCCGTGGGGAGATCGCGGGAGCAGGTATACAAGATGAACTTGAAGTCAGCTTCGATAGAGATACTGTATATATACTGTAAAGCCAATCACAGTGCACAAACTGTGTTCTGTCCTACACAATTTGCATCGGTATTCCTAGCGTCAAGCGATACCATGAAACATCATGCATACTCACGTAACGTGCAGGCCATGTTAGACTTTTTGTTTGCTCCTGCCCCAACTGGTCAGGGCCCCCTGAATACGCCCTGAGCCTGAGCCGATTTCAATCATTGGAACATCATTGAACTATCCTTTCTTCAGCAAGAGTCCGTTTACACGCACACACGCACCCACTGGTGTCCAGCCACAAAAAACAGTGGTTTGGACATGTTAGGAACAGTGGTTAGGAAGAGTGGTTAGGGTTTGACCCAACAAAGCCAATCCGAATCGTCAGTCAGGAGATGTGTTCCATCCTCGACACTGCCGAGCGTGGGATGACTCTCAAGCAGCTGCAAAAGCTGTTGGCTTTCATCTCAAAAGTTGCTGACCAATGTTGTGAAACCTTCGGAGATCATCGTGGCAGACAGCTACAGTTCGAGACGTTTAACTTGTATCACACGAATCACTGGATCATCAAGCCAGCCACGGAAGGTTATGGCGGCAAGGGCTGCAGTTTGGTCGAGGTCATGGCAGTAGAAGTGCAGAGACCCCACTGGTTTGTGTCACATGCTTGGATTGAACCTTGGCGGTGACACATCGTGAAAGCATGAAACCTAATTACACAGGACTTGATGTGTTAAACCTGTTGAAGGTGTATGTTTGAAGGATTTATGATATTTATGACTGTAGGAAAATACATGGATTTTGTTTCAATCTCCCACGCTGAAGCATTCATGTATTTCATGGGTGAGGAGCCTGTGTACAATTTTTTGGCCTGCTTGGAGCAGCATGCTTTGGTCCGAAAGCTGTCAATGAGCACCGCATTTTGGGTCTGTGCATATGCTAACAATCAGCACTGCGTGGCGGATGATATTACAAGCAACCCACGCAGCACTTCGTTCTACCGGGCTATGCAAATGTCGCAGGGCGTGCTTTTGGTGCTTGATTCAGGTGGAACTCCTTTTGAAAGAATTTGGTGTTGCTTCGAAGAGTCCGTTGTGCCTCGGGAGCTAAGCTTATTCTGTTGTGCCTTGCTGTTCTTCATCGTGTTTTCTCAACTGATGCGAGATTGCCTCTCTGAAAGAGTCTTTGATTGCACATCCATTCTTGATCTTTGATCCACCGATCGCTGAGGCCATTGAGCATCGAGAAGGCAATTGGTCCAGAAGTCATTTGTTGTTGGATGTAGGTGCCACTGATGCACAGAACCATGCTACTTGTACTGGGAACAGCAGTGTGTTTTGTAGAGTTTTCTACTTCCAGGAGCTTGTCACCGTTTCAAAGGGCTCAAGCAGGTTCAGAATCCAGAAGTAAGTGTTTGTTGGGGATGGAATGTGGTCTATTGGTGGTGCTAGGGACTGTGTGTGTGTGTTCAGTTTCAGTCCACCACTCAGTCCACCACTTCGACAGCCATGTTGGTCCATTTGAGGCTCATGTGCTTACTGACGGTCTGGCTGGAGCCGAGAGCTGTATGATTGGTATTGTTGGCTTGTACCAGAAGTCAGTCCGAGAACGTGCTTTTCCTTTAAGCCTTTTGAAGAAAGGCTTGGAGGTGAAGATCGAAGAACCTTGGCGCGAAGATAGAAGACTCTTGATAATATGGTTTTCAAAGACAGGAATTTGAGGGAAGGAACCTGACTGTTCCGCCATCATAGAATGAATAATCCAACAACTATATATATGGACGTTCTGAATCTTATACGACTCATATGATTTGTTGTATTCTCGTTGTTCGACACGGTGAGGAAGCAAAGGCTACGGAGCAGATTGACAAAGATCGAATTCTGAAGAGCATTGCTTTTCCCCGTGCCAAAGAGCTAGAGGATTCCCAGTCCACTCCTACAGGACATCCGAACTTTCAGCGAGTTGATGAAGCTCTTGCTTCGCACTTTGCTTTAGCAAGTTGGTATGGCTTCGTTTGGGGTCGCAGACCTACAGAATCCCTTGCAAGGGCTTTGCGGGCAGATGTTGGTCGAAAGGTGGTGCAGCTTTCATTTACTGGCTGCCAACATTTCTCGGACGGCGAACTTGAAGTGCTGCTGCAGAACCTCCCTCGTGATCTGAGAGTCTTGCGATTGGATTTGGGTTTTTCTGCTCTTGAGACTTTGGATTTTGCAGCGAAAATTGGGCCAGATGGTTTGCAGTTTTCCAAGTCCTTGGTTGAACTGACCTTGCGCTTCACTGGTTCATCATCATTCCGAAGTGCAGGAGGCCTTGCAGTCTTGCTGAGAGAGATGGAGAATCTCGTCAACCTGGAAATCTGGCTCGGGTTGTGAAACGTTGGACACACATGTGTGTATCGTTGTATTCAATTTGTCGACGGTTTTCAGTGTTGGCCTTTTTCCAACTTGGTGTGGCTCACAGGTTCATGAACTTGCCGAGATTGAATGATCTCGGATCTTTGAATTCAGCCTTGCTATGCTTGGAGAACTTGGAGGATTTGATATTTGAGCTCAGTGGATGCCAAGTCTCATTGGATGTCAGGAGAGAGCTTGACCAAAGCATCAGGTCTTTGAAATGGACGAGAGGTAGCAGCTTGGATATGTGGGTACACATCGAAGGCTTCCCAAGTGGCTGGTGTGATTGGCCATTTGGGAGCCAAATGAGGAGCTTCCGGTCGCTGTGCTCCCGGTGCTTCACTTGGTTCGTTAAGCCGCAGCGATCTCGAAGCAGCAGCAGCGCGAGCAGCAGTAGCGGCAGCAGCAGTAGCGGCAACAGCAGCAGCAGATTTGGTAGGCTTGCTTATTCCAGTGATGAAGCTGAGATCGAAGGAAGCGAGACAGAGATCGAAGAAAATGAATTGGACCTGCTGCTTGATGAAGCAAGACCATTCCCTTGTAGCCATTTTGCATGCGCTTCCTTTCATGCACAGCTGCATGGTTATTGTGAGAGGCACCGCTGGTTTGGCCTTGCCAAGAGGATGTTTGTTCGATTAAACACTGTGCGCCAGCTGTTAGAGCTTAGTTTGCTCATCCTCACGCAAGCAGCAGCAGAGATAGAAAGCAGACATTTGCTCCTACTGATTATCATAAGTTTGTTGCCTGCAGCATGCTTAAGCATCTCGCAAAGCACAGGAGTGCCTGGAACAGTGGCTTTTTTGCTCATTGTCATCATTGCTGTGAGCAGCATTGCTTTCACAACAGCTCGGCTCCAGCGGATGCATGATCTCTCAAAGCAGCTGGAAATCCAGGTGGAGTCGATGTATGCAAAACATTTGCAGACTGACATGTCCAGGCTATTTGGTGGCGGAGAAGGTTGTGACAAAGACATAGTTCAACCTCACATCAACAGCCTGAAAGAACACTTCATCGAAGCAAGAAAGCGGTTCGCTAAATTCAACAAAGAAATATGCCTGCCACTGCAGCAGTTCCTGAAGGAACGTGGTTCCCTTTCAGTCCCAGCTTTGCATGCTTTGCACCCTGCATTGAAGTTGTTGACATGTGCACAAGAGGATGTTATTCGGGAAGGAAGTCCCAATCACATCGCGGATATCCTGTATTGTGATGTTACCTTTTACAACTGGGACCAGATGATGGATGCCTGGCATTTCCTGAGAACAATAGCATCCGATGAGTTGAATCATATTCAAATCATGTCCCTTCGTGACTTGTTTGCAGTTGCTACGACTGGTCGCAGATGTGCTGAGATGGTTCTGAGGATCGACGGCTATTTCGCCACGATCCGTTTTCTCGACAGAGCCGTGACCGAACTTGAAGACCAAATAGACCATGTGCACACCTTGGCTAGGCAGTTGGGCCTTGTGGCGAGCCATTTCCAGATCGACCCGCAGCTTGTTTCAGGACGACGTGCGCGACGCGCATGGAAAGTGTCGAGGCGACCTACATGGTTGCGCGCTGCTGTTTCTGCCCTTCGCCTTATCTCGTCGCTTGCTGCGATGTACCTTGCGATTCAGTATTTCGTTCGATACAGTCCACCGTTTCTCCGTTCCAGCCTGCCCAAGCTCGTCAAGGACTTTGTTAGTCTCAAAGAAATGGTTACCTCTGATCAGCCCGGTGAGCAAATCAGATCGGGAAGCGCTGACTCAGTAGGGGGACGTGGTTCTAATCCAGGCTGGTTGGAGAAGAGTCGATTGATGTTGCCTTCCATTCTATTCTCTTTGCCCTACCTAGCCTTGACGATCGTCCTCTTAAGCGACTTGCACCGCCGTTCAAGAAAACAGAAGCTGAAAGTGAAGCCTACCCAGTTGCTCTACGAGGAGTACTTTGGTACCCAAGGGAGATTTTATTCGTTGAAAGTGGCAATCCTGCAGTTTTTCACTGTGATGCTACAAGCACTTGGCAAGTTGCAGATCATGGGTGGTATCGTGTCTCTATCATTTCATCCAGCTGGTGAGCATGACGTAGTTCCATTCCAACGATGCTTCTGGGCGTTTGTCGGCTTCCTTTGTTTAAACAGCATTTATCCGAGCATTCTGTTTCTTTTCCCCTCTCAGAACTGGGCCCGCCTGGGCGCCGCCATGATGGATGCCATTCTTGATGTTGCCTACACCAGCACATATCTCATCATTGCTGTGCTGGCCATCTATGAGCTAGGGCTGGACCAAAAGATTGCAGGGAACTTTGGAGACGCCCCTGCGGTCAACTTCAGAGCTGCATTGGATCCTACGTTTGCTTTCCCGACAGACTTCCTAGGCTTCTTTGCTGTTTTCTACTCACTTGCACATGTGTGCTCCGTTTGTCGCGCTGTTGAACGCGATCGGTTTGAACACTCATCCGATCGCTTCGATCGACGAAGCTCACATAGCACTGTCCAGTCCGCCCGAATGACCAGATGTTGCAAAGTGCTGTCACTTGTTCAGAAGGAGGAATTTGATTCTGAAATATTCTGAACTCTTTTGTATTCTTTTGTGGTTCCAGAACAATGGTAGCAGTGACATGACCCTGTTTTCATTGTGCTTTTTACACCAATTTGTTCGATTTGTTTTTGGCTTGGACTTGAGGTATTCGCCATGCTTGCTGGTGGCAATTCTTTGGTTGTTGCTTTCAACGGATGCCTACCCGACTCACTCCACAGACTTTGGATGTTTTCCATGTCGTTGCAAGCAAGTGGCACCTGGCTCAAAGGAACTCATCAGTTGTGGCCTTGCTGGTGTTCTGAAGCTGAAAGATGTAAGTTTGAGCAAACAAGAGATCAGCAGTGTCGGAATGTATGCTTTCAGGTCGTTGGGTCTAATACAGCGCTTGTCTCTACAGGGGAATCAAATAAGCGTTTTGCCCAAGAAGATCTTTGCTCCTTTGCGTGGCTTGCAACTCCTGGATTTGGCCCACTTGGGACTGGAACGTGTGGAGTCTGAGACCTTTCTAGGTTACTGAGCCAAAATGGCGATGGCCTCCAACCTAATAGCTATGGCCTCCAACCTAAGAGCGATGGCCTCCAACCTAAGAGCGATGGCCTCCAACCTAAGAGCGATGGCCTCCAACCTCAGAGCGATGGCCTCCAACCTACTGTAATAGCCGTGGCCCCCAACCTAAGAGCGATGGCCTCCAACCCAATAGCGATTCCAACCTAATGCCGATGGCCTCCAACCTCAGAGCAATGGCCTCCAACCTAATGTAATAGCCGTGGCCACCAACCTAAGAGCGATGCCCTCCAACCTAAGAGCGATTCCAACCTAATGCCGATGGCCTCCAACCTCAGAGCAATGGCTAATGTTTAATGGCCTCCAACCTAATAGCATTGGCCCCCAACCTAAAATGGCCTCCAACCTAAGAGAGATGGCCCCGAACCATCCCGAACCTACTAGCCAAGGTTTATCATCGTTGAGGATATTGTTACTGAGCCGAAATCACTTGCAGCAGCTGCCAGAAGACTTGCTCCGCCCAATGCCAGCCCTAGAGCAATTGTTGCTGGGCGGGGGGACTGATAAGGACGGTACTTACATCATTGATGGGAACAAACTTGGTGTTCTTCCAAGTGACCTTTTGAAGCACAGCCCATGCTTGAGGATTTTTGATGTGAGCGAAAACAAATTGAAATCACTTCCAAGCGGCATATTTGCGAAACAGTCATTGCTGCAGACTGTCGATCTGCGAAACAACCAGCTCAGACAGTTGCCTCCCGAAATCTTCGCAGGCCTGAGCAACTTGCAGTACCTCCACCTGAACAACAACCAGCTCAGTCAGTTGCCTTCCGAGGTCTTTGCAGGCCTCCACAGCTTACACATACTTGGGCTCGGCTTCGACCAGCTCAGTGAGTTGTCTCCTGAAATCTTCGCAGGCCTCAGCAACTTGCAGTCCCTGAACCTCAAAGGCAACCAGCTCAGTGAGTTGCCTCCTAAAGTCTTTGCAGGCCTCGGCATGTTGCAGATTCTCAGCCTCAGCAGCAACCAGCTCAGTAAGTTGCCTCCTGGAGTCTTTGCGGGCCTCAGAAGCTTGCGGGATCTCTACCTCCTGGATAACATCCAGCTCAGTGAGTTGCCTGCAGTTTGTGATCATGGATCTGTGAATTGTCGTTGGGGCGATATGTCGTATTACGGGTACTCAGAGGGATGATCTGGGATGTCTTCCCAGAACCTTGGACATGGCAGCACGAAAGGTTGGAAGCATCTCGCGCGCATGTTGTGTTATCATTATGTCATTATGTTGCAATGTGTTGCATATATACAGCTCATGCACGATGTTTTTCAGTGATCCGTCGCAGAACATCATAGAATCATGCTGATCACCCGCTCCTCGCGCCTTCGGCTTTGCGTCCTTCGTCGGAGGCAAACGTCGAGTACTTCACCCAGTACTTCGTGGTGACACCGCAGAACCCAATGCTCGAGGTGGGTGACCTTTTCAATTTGAAGTGGGTGAGTTGACCCTTTTCAATTTGAAGTGGGTGAGTGGATGTGTCAAAATGGAGCCAACGATTTGGCAAAAGAAAAGAGACTGCGCAAAGGCACAGTGCTCGTAGATGAAAAAAACCATGGGCCCGTGATTCTGAGACAGGTCCTCAGGTGGGATTGTTTTTGAGTTGTTTGATGTTTGCAGAAGCTCGAATTGACAGAATTTCATAGAATTTCAGGATTCCACATCATAACATAGTCCTAGTCCCAGCAACTGCTGCTGAGAGTTGCAAACACTGTGAATGGAACGGGTATGGTGGGTATGGGCGAACTCCAAGCTGGGCCATTAGATTGGTGTCTCGAACAAGACGACGGACCCACACTCACAGAGTCACAGTAAATTAACACCAGCAAGGAGGGGGCCTGAGTACTGCGGGAGGCCAAGGGCCATTCACGTTCTTTTCCCGAAGCGGGTCAGGTCAACATGTATAGACTGTCCTACCTGCAGAGGCAATCGCTCATTGTCCCACACGCCCCATTAAGCGGTAGTGCGACAGTAGCAAGTACCCCTTGGGGTTTGGCCTCATCGGGCTGAGTAACCCGCCAAAACATTTGGCCTCGACTTGTAGTTCTACGATTCCCCCATCCTGTGCAGCCGTGGTGCCTCCTGGTGCTCCCTTGCGATCGCTCGGTTGGCCACGAGCCAGGAGCCGTCGGGGCGTGGAGTTCATCGGTTGGGAGGCGGTCGCTCTCGCCAGCAGATGGCGGTTTGTGAGGCTGAGAAGCATCAGACCGCCATTGCCACGACCTGTCCTCATAGTGCCAATGGTCTGATTTTGCAGCTGAGAACTGGCATGTGAGTCCAAGGAAGGGATCAACAATGATCAAAAACACAAAAGGAATACCGTAACCAATTCCTGTGGGACTGCGCACGATTGCAATCACCAGGCATTTTGTGTGGCAGTGTTCGTTTATGTTTGTTTCACACCATGCACAAGAGGTGCATGGTGCAACGCTTGCAGGCAGCAAGACTGGGTGATTAAATGTACTGTCAAGAAGCAGGGTTGGGCAAGTGTCCATCAAGGCAAGGGTGCCTTGGTCACTGTTGCTGAAATTCGTTTGAGCAAGGATAAGGCCAATCCTTTTCTGCAGGCGGATTGCCATTGAGGTGGTGGAGAAGAGACGTTCGATTTCCATCGCTGATGTACAATTTTGGCGGCCATCCACGGCTCAAACCAATATTCTGAAAGGTCAACATTCTTCACGCACCACCAAGTGCATGCTGGGCCTCCATTTTTCAAATGACTATACATGGTCTGTGCTGGGTGGGTCCTTTTGCATGCACATTTTGGGCCAGCAGAGAACTGAACACATTTGAACTCCCAACCTCAGTCAAGATGGGGTTCCCATTGGAATCATTGGTCATCACAAAGCACAACTATTTGTTTGCAGGGACTGCTGCAATACCACTGTCTCCATTGTTTTTTATCCTCTTCATCGTTCAGTGCCGAGCTCAGACTGACTCCCAAAACATCGACGAACCGCATAGACCGAGGAAGACCGGTCGCCCGGTGGGCAAATCGGCGTGGAGATCTTTAAGCCACATTCCAGGGTAATTGCTGCCCCTTCTAAACTGTTCAGTGGTCAATGTTTGATTCAAAAAGAGTCCACCGATAGAAATTCTCACCTTTTGATTCATGGGTTCTTCCATCCCTTTTGCTCTGTCAGCGCTAGTTGAAGGATGTTGAAAAGATAAAGGATCCGTCATTGTTCTCGCCTGGTTTGATGTCGATTCTCGGCAGGCTCCATGGACAGGTTGAAAGCCGGCAGCTGCCTGAGTCATTCCGCGTCAAACCCCCTACACCATCCTACGCAAGACGGAGGACTGATGAAGCACCAAGCCATCCTATCGTGGTGAAAAATCTAGGTGTCGATTCGCACATGAGCTCCGTCGGAAGATGGTTTGATGGAACGCAGCCGACCAAAAACGTATTGCTGTCTACCAGTCAATGATGTCGATATGTTATGATTGGTTGATTGTTGCCGGGATGATATGGTTTTTGCACAGATGGAAGGTTCGTTTTTTGGACCGAAAACAAGGCATGACATGTGCGGGTCGTTGTGTGTAGCACGACATGTGTCCTCGGCCTTCTATAGGTGCGAAGAGCGGTGCGATATATTACTGCGCGCTCGCATGGGAGACCAGCGGGGAGAGGACACACGTTGCTGTCAGTTGCTGTCGGTTGGACCAAGCAACTGTCGACAGACTTACCAATACCAATATGACCAACATGGAAGCATGGTTGGCATGGTTTGTCAGAGACCTCAGAAACCTCAGTGACCACGTCGTTTTTCTTTGCCAACATGCAGTCAGACTCTGACCAGTCAGACCGTTGCTAACCAGCTCAGGCTATGAGAAGCTCAAGAAGATGGATCCAAGTGCGCTGAAGTCCGACTTCGACCGTGTGCCTTGCCTGGATGGAACAGCCCGATGGAACATCAGGCACTGGATGGAAAGCTGGTCGAACTGGCAGAAAAGGGTTTCCGGGGTTGGGGTCTTTTATTGTTTGATGGGAGACACCCAACAAAACTAAACCACATACAAGCAGCTAGGAAGAATCTAGGTTTCTTTGGGAACTCGCTTCCAGAAGAGGGGTCATTGGATTGGGTGTTTCACAGTGGGAGTAGAATTGTCATTTCAGGATCCCAGTGCCTTTCTTTCACAGATCCTGTTGACATGGTCCATCATCCAAAACGGGGCCAGGACGTGGGACCAAAGGTCCTCGTTTCTTCCAGTGGCATGGACGGTGTTTCTGGAGGCTTCCTCCATGTTTTGGATCAAGGAATGTTTCAGGGTGAGTTAGGCTGGGTGTAGAGGGACTTGCGGAGCCATTGGCCAAGATTCCATTTTTCTTAATGGGCTGTGAGGATTCTAAGCTGCATGAGTGCTCCATTACTACTTGCAGCGGCCTCAATATAAGTAGTTTTTCCACTATGGCACTGTGAGTTCACCAATCATCCAACTTTTGGCGGTCTTTCGTTGTATGAGGCCAGTCAAGAAAGATCAACTATGCAGGGTGGTTTGGAATGTTCTATTGCGGTTCATCCCTACTTGGCAATGTTTCCTAACTGTCTCAGACTTTGTGTGAGGGGGGTCCAATACCAAGCAGCTGTTGAAACTCCTTGGAGGGTGAAACTCTGTGGATCAGAAGCTCAACTGACCTCAGGTCGCAGCTCCTGTGATGCAGAAGCTGATGCCTGTGAGGGCCCCAGTCCAAAGACATCACGCCTCTCAGGAGAGGGCGCGCTCGATTGGTCCAGAACACAGCGGAGTTTTGCGGGAATGTATGTATATATGTATATATATATATGTTATATATTATTATTGTATTTTTCGGACTAGCCAAAAAAGCTGAAAGGATTCCTATAGGTGTTTGATTTTTTTGTGAACGCTAAAAAAGGCTCTAGGACTTAGGTGTCCAGGTCCAATCCATTGCAGGTAAAAAGCTTAGACGCGGCATTCCAAGGGATTCAGAGGAGATATGCTAAGAAGATATGATGGGAGCGAACGTCCTGGGAAGGCATCTAAGGCTTGCAACAAAACCTTTGTTGCGCTGTCTTTTTGTTGCAAGCTTGGGGGGTGGCTTGATTATATGTCCTAGGCAGGCAGATTTAGGCGTGTGTTTTGGAAGACTTTGTTTTCGCTCCCCTCCGGATAATTATGGTCTGGCTGACTCACCTTTGCCTCAGCATCAATTGCTTAGGAATTAGGCAGATGGATCCACAGGTGCTGGTTGTTGTTGTGACCATCCATATTGCAGAACAACACCTATGCTCATCAAGCGCTTGGAAGCAGATGATCATGGCATCCAGGGAGTTACTTCGCCTGGAGGAATCGCAACGAATCACCTTCCAATTAGTTTAACAAACAAACATATCGCAAAGATGACAATTCTGGACTTGGCTTCAATCCAATGGAAGATCCCCCGCAGTTCCCAAGCTACTAATTCACCTTTGAATACCTTTTGACACCTGTGTCATGTCATGTCTTGTTTATTGAGACTTCTCCGAGCGAAAGAGAATCCTTTGGGCCCTGCCACTCCATGCCCCTCCATGCTGGTCATCGGCACTTCTGGTGCGATGAGGCCATCGGCAGACAGCACAGCATCGGCAGCCAGCGCCCCAGGCTGAATCAGATGCAGAGAAAACAACCCAAACCTGATGAGTTGAAGGAGTTCTTTATTCAATATACTAGAAAACTCGGGCACAAAGTGTATGGGAATGTTTCATGATCGTCATGCACGTTTCTGGGAGCAGCTCCTTGCTGGTTACTTCTCCATTTGTGTAGGGTACAGTAGAGCCTCTGATCAGAACGCTCGGAGGCGACGACCGGGTTTTATCTATATGTTGAGAACTCCGCAGGCAGCAGATGTTTCGAGGAAGGCCTTCTGTCATGGGGACCGTTCTGTCATGGTCATTGTGTCTGGATATCAGGTCACCGGCGCTGTATACAATCTTTATGTATTAATTGTACATCACATTTATTACATTTTATTACGCTCATGGTCAACTCTCTATAGCTCCTTTTCGGAGCTTTCAAACCGTCGTGTAGTGGCCCTGTCAGCCGTCGTAGCCTCCACTGGACGGAAGGCCTTGGGGGTCGAGGACTCCTGGGTCCGAGGCCGGGTGGTGGCTGAGAATCGCCAGATCAGCGAGGGCGGATTCGCCTACGTGTGGCTGGCCAGGACCTCAGGGGTGGATTGACCGACTGCAGGGTCGGCATCACCAGCATTCCAGAGTTCGTAGACCTGAACCCCGCACACATACACACATCATGCTCCCCACACATTTGGAGTCTTTCTCCCTTGTCCAAGTCCATTTTTCGACAGATACCGGGGTCGATCCCCGTCCCATGTCGATCCAGGTGCACGACGTGAAGACCCATGAGGCTGTGGGCGGTTTCACCCGCGTGGCGAGCGCGGAATGTTCCGGTGGGAAGAGCCAAACTGGAAGCAGTTCCGGTCACCAGTCCGCAGGAGTTGCCACCCAGTCCGGGTGTGGTTTTGAGGCTCGAGGTACTGGTGGATACAGATCCACGTCCAACGATGCCAGTTCCACATTGGCAGGAGCTCGTTCTGAAGAAGATGAGATGTCAGGACAGTGACTACCGTCGGAGCTCGGCCACGAGAGTGACATGTGGGACGACAGACACGGTCCTGGGCACAAGACCTTTGGACTCCGGAGAGAATTGGAGAGTCTCGGGTGCTCAATATGATCGCTGTCCTTGAAGCTGTTGTTGGTGTGTTATGTTGTGTTTGTGTTCCCCAAAATAGGTTGCCATTTCTACACAAGTGAAGTGAATCTTTCTGAACATCTACGAAATGATACGAACAAAAAGGAGGAGTCATGAGTCACACAACTCCTCCAGAAATCGGAAGTTCCGAAAACGTTTGTCACGTCAGTCTAGAACTGTAGCCACTACCGTGCATGGAAAAGGATATTCATATCCATTGGGCGTATTTTGGGCATTGTCACAACAATGGCTTCAGTGATCATCAGCAAATGGATGCAAATGCACAAATGGACCACACCAAGCAGTTGTGCCCAAATTGAATTTTGCACGTATCGCTGCGCGAAAACACAGCGTGAAATGAGGACAAGCTTTCATTACAAATGGCCAAGCGCGAAATTCAACTGCATCTTGGGCTGCAAAGGCTCCAGCTTTTGATGTATCTAGACCCTCAACATTCTGAATGGCTGAACATGGATGCAAGTTGCTGTAGTTTGGAGCTTGGGGTTCGTGGTCCTTCCTTCACATGGGATACGAACGCACAGGTTCGCTGTCAG